TTTTTTTTTTAAAGATTTTATTTATTTATTCATGAGAGACAGAGAGAAACAGAGGGAGAAGCAGGCTCCCGAGGAGCGGGAAGCCCGATGCGGGACTCGATCCCAGGACCCTGGGATCATGACCTGAGCTGAAGGCAGACGCTTAACCATCTGAGCCACCCAGGCGCCCCCTATTTTTAATTTTTTGAGGAGCTGTTAAACTGTGTTCCGTAGTGTCTGCACCATTTTATGTTCCCACCAACAGTGCACAAGGGTTTCAATTTCCCCACATCGTCTTTAACACTTATTTTCTGTTTTTGTTGGTGGTGTTCTATAACAACCTTTCTAATGGATGTGACGTGGTATCTCATTGTGGTTTTGACTTGCATTTCTGTAAGATTAGTGATATTGAGCATCATTTCCTGTGCTTATTGGCTAATCTTGTTTGGAGAAATACCTATTAAATACCTATTAAAGTCCTTTGCCCATTTTAAAATCAGATTTTCTTTTATTGTTGATTTGTAGTAGTTCTTTATATAGTCTAGATACCCCTTAATATGATTTACAATATGTGATTTACAAGTATTTTCTTCCATTCTGTGAGTTGCCTTTTCATTCTGTTAATAGTGTCCTTTGATACACAAAAGTGTATCATTTTGATGTGGTTCAGTTTATCTATTTTCTCTTTTGTTTTCTGTGGGCATCTCTTCAATTTTTTTAAGCCCAGGCCAATCGTAAACTTTCTCTAAGATTTTTCAATCCTACCTAGTCCATCTCCTTTTTTTTTTCCTCCATCCCTTTGATTAAGCCTTCTTAGCCACCATTGGGCAGCCTACCCAGGGTATCTAACTTGTTTCTAAGTTTCTTGAGGGTAATGACTTATTTTGTAACTTCCCCTCAAGTTGCAAGTGGGCAGGAGGGAAGGGGGGAAGTCTTTATTAAACCTCTTTTTTAAAATTAATTAATTTACTTTGAGAGAGAGAGAGAGAGTGAGCAGGGGGAGGAGCAGAGGGAGAGGAAGAGAGAGAATCTCAAGCAGGCTCCCTGCTGAGTGTAGAGCCTGATGCCAGGCTCCATCTCACATACCTGAGGTCATGACCTGAACTGAAACCAAGAGCTGCGTTTGGATGCTCAACCAACTGAGCCACTCAGGCACCCCCTTTGTTAACCCTCTGGTAAAGAGTTCATTTAATAAACCTAAATTTATATATATAGTGGCAGCAAATGTCATTTGCTCAGTTAATAGTTGATGAATTGATAGATGACTGAATAAATGAAGAATGAATCCTGGGACACACAGGTCTCTCCACCCCAGGTAATGCATGTGCTGACTTTCTCAGATCTTCTCAGTATGTGTGAGGTTCTGGTAATCTTCAGTGGGCTCAGGGAAACTGGAGATTGGGCTGACCTCTCCAGTATATTGTGAAGGTGACCGCTAAAGATGGTGGGTGTCTGAGTCAGAGCCTGAGAACTATTAAAATGATGACAATGTGGTGCTTGGGCCTTTTTTTTTTTTTTTAACTTACTTTCCCTGCATCTGAGGACAGGAAATCAAATTGGTGCTGCTTATAATGGCTTATGAAAGTTTATTTTGGTAGGTCTGTCTTCTTAGCTAGGCAGAAAAACTGTATTTCCAGGTGCACTTGCATTAAAGCAACAGATGTATTCCTTAAATTAACTAAGTACTGCATTTGTTTGACCATTTGTTCAGCACAGAACAACAACAACAACAACAACTAAAATTCAAGTGTTTAGACTATGTGCATGTCAGGCACCATGCTAGGTGCTTTAAAAGTATTATTTCTTCTAATTTCCTCAAAACCTCTATGAGATGATTATTATTCCAATGACAGAGATAAAATTGAGTCTTAAGGAAATTAAATACCTTGCTGTGGCTCCCACATCTAGGAAGTGGCAGGGCTGGGATTCTTACTCAAGTGGAGCTTCCTTCTAGGTTGGATTCCTTATTCAACATGCTGCCTACTATGCGCTAGATGCTAGAGACATAAAGATGAGGCAGATATCATTGCCCATGAGAGTGTAGTGATAGAGATGTGCATAGAAGATTATGAGGACAACAAGGAGGACACCTACCCTTTGTGGATGTTTATTAAGTCAGGGAAGGCTTCCTAAGGAGGGAGGGTTGAGTTGAGTCAAAAAGGAAAAGGTAGCACTAGAAAGGGAGAGTGGACATCTAATTGTTTGCCCAGCCCAGCATCATGTTCTTTTTCTGGGAATAGCATCCCTCTTCTTTTGGGAACCTCCCCACCATGGTATTCCTCAAAGATCTTACAAAGTTCCTGACTCTGATTGAGTGGTCTAGGGCTAGACACCTAAGCCCATGCCAATCATAGACTAGTTGTTGTTGTTGTTGTTGTTGTTTTTTCCAAACCAAAACTCCAAGCAAACATCTAACCTTATCTAGTGGTAGAAATTGAAGGGTGAATCCCAGGGACTCTTGGCAGCTGGGTTTCCTAACATTTGGGAGGGATGATCTGGAGTGAGAAAGAATGAGGCCAATACAAACAGGAAACAGGGACAAGAGATAGAGAAAGTGTCTTGGTAGCCTGCCTGTTCCCTGACTCCATTGTTTAATCATTTTTTAGAATAAGCAAGATAATCTGGATTCTTCTGATAAATTCTCCTTTTGCCACAGTGGCTCCAGTTGGGTTTCTATTACTTTTTACTCTGTGAGCCTTATTTAATATACTTACTTAGTAATAGGCATGAATGGGTGACCCCTAGAGAGCAAATGGCTTAAACAAAGTATCAGAACAAGCAGAGCAAGAGGTGAATGGAGGAAGCCACAAGTAGTTTGGTATTTGTCAATGTGTAAACATTAAGACAAGAAGTATAGGAAATGAGACCAATAAGTAGGCAAAAATCTGATCATGGGGCCTATATTATGCAAAGGACTTTAGAACTTGATCCTGTATATATTCTGTTTATTCTATAGGTTCTAAGTAGGCATTAGGCAGAAGTTCTGTAAACCTCATTATTATTAATAGTAATTAAGAGGTTCCTAACCTGGCAGCCACAGACAGGCTTCGATTGTCCCCAAATCCAGTGAAATAGTGTGAAAAATCTATGGGCGTGTATAGTTTATTTGTTTTTGGTTTTTGTTATGGAAAATGTTCTCAGCTTTCATCAGATATTAAAGCAGTCCCTGACCCAAAATATGTTGTGAACTGGTTTGTGCAGGCATTTTGGGGAATGATGGCTTCAAATATTCATGCAAATCTCATTTTCCCCTTGATTTCCTCACAACTCTAACAAAACCGTTCAGCACAGAGAAAATGCTCCATAACGTTTCTGCTGGACATTGTCTTAAGGGCTTCTCCTTGGGGATCATGAAAAGCTGTAAAGAGATGATATAGATCTGGTTTATATAGAGATTTTAACTGGGAATGCTGGATATGACCTCCACCCTGTTCTTGACCTGGGCAGCCAGACCAGAACTGCAGGCTTTCGGAGGTGGCACCTGGGGTACCACCGCTGTCCCCAAAAGCCAACTGTAAGTGGTATCCTTGTCCTTCCACCGGCAGGCAGAGACTACAAGTCCCGGGATGCTCCACTCTCGAGCCGGGGCGAGGGCGGGGCGGATCTCCGCAGTGACGTCACCGTCCCGGGGCGAGCCGGAGGTGGGCGGGGCGAAGGGGCGGGCCGGGGAGGCGGTCGAGCGCGCTGGTGCTGATGCAGGATGGCTGAGCGCGCAGGAGCCCGGGAGGTCTGAGCCGGGCGAGGCTCGCTCCCTGCGCATCGCCTCGTCCGCCGGCCGCGTGGTCGCGGGCAGGTGGGCCCGGAGCGCCGCGCCGGGCCAGGGCAAGGCCAGGGAAGGCAGGTCTGCAGCCGGAGGGGCCGGAGGCTGATAGAAGCCTACCCGGTCTGGGAGCGGCCCGAGCTGCCCAGCCCGCCGAGTTCGCGATGACCTGCTGAGAAGCTTCGTCGGAGGCTGCAGGAGGCGGCCTCGCTGCAGGCGGTGCGGTTCGTGGCCTCCTCCCTCGTCCTGCTGAGCCCCGGCCCCCCACCCATCCCCGCGCCCCCTCCCTGCCGCCGGCCGAGATGGCGGATCCAGCTGAATGCAGCATCAAAGTGATGTGCCGGTTCCGGCCCCTCAACGAAGCGGAGATTCTCCGAGGGGACAAATTCATCCCCAAATTTAAAGGCGATGAGACCGTGGTGATTGGGGTAAGTGTCCGGGACGTGTGGCTTCCCCTGCTGCTTCGCGCCGCAGCCGGGCGCCCGAACGCCCCAGACCGCAGGGGTGTTCGGCCGCCCCTTCGGACATCCCCCACAGGGCTGCCCTCTCGTGTAGACTAGAAGAGAAACCCCCTCCCCCACTCCCTATAGTTCGCTCCCGGGCGGTGGAGGGGCGACTGGGGGCGGCGGGGCGGGCCCAGGTGGCGAGAGTAGAGGTGGGGGGCGAGGAAGGGTTCGGCGCCGCCATTGTTCTCGGGGTGGGGGCCGTCGTGGGCCTATTGTTCCCCGCCTTGGCCACGCCGCGTGGGTAGAGTGCTCGCGTTACCCTCAAGCGGGGTGCCCAGGCTCCCCTTAGAGTATGATCTCTGTAGCCCACAAATGATTCCAGGCATCAGTTCGATTTATCGAACGCTTTACCTGTTCTTCTCACGACCTTAGCAAAAGGAAAAGAAAAAAAAGAGGTACTGGAAAAATCCTAGCCTCGGCTGGGAGCTCCCACCCCGTGTAGACGCGGCTCCCCGCGGCGTTTCACCTTGCCCTGCTTGCAGAAGGCGGGGGTGTGGGGAACCCTGGTGGTCTTGGTGTCCCCGGGAAGGCCTGGTGTGTCTCCTGATTCCTCTCAACCCAGGCTGCCCTGGATGTGGTCTCCGGGTCTGACCCCTCCCCAGTGAAGCGACCTCCCACCTGGTGTCCACAGACCGTCGGATGTGCTTCGCCCTGGGTGGAGATGTGTGCCCACATCTGTGGGGCTAAGGGCCCAGAGCGCAGCCAAATAGTCCCTCTCTGCCAGGAGTAGAAGTTACTTTGTGTGGTCGGGTCAACCCCCCCCC